TTTTCCCGCTAAAACCTTCACATATCCGTACTTGTGTACCTCACGTGCTTGGAAAGCTGAATTTGACGGGGAAATTGCTCGTTGAGCAGCTGAATTATTTTCAAAAAACGATCGCTAAACGGAAATTGTTTATTTTCGTCTTTGCACATTTACGATGATTTACGGTATTGAACGCGCAAGGTGGGTGTGGAGCAACAACTATTTAAACAGTTAACCTAATTATTTCAGGTTTGGTGCAAAAACGCATGATTGCACCGGCAAGCCTGACGCATTCCAGCCTGGTTTATTAAAAACAGATTTTCAAATTTCTTTAAGAATGAGCATTTCGTCCGTTCATCAATATTTATGCATTTTTGCCTACTTATGCAAGTGCAAAAACGCATATTGTAACGAACCAAGAAGTGCCACTGTATGTTTGTGTACATGTATTTGTGTATACGTCTGTCCAGCTATTTCAGTTCGTCAGCCTTCGATACTGAAATGCCAGTGGGTTCCCTGGCCAAGCGCTTTCCCCAACCATGTTATCATGAAATAGGAAAACTTCTGAAAGTGCAAATTTTTTTGACAGCTTCAGGAATTTGGAAAGACGGAGGTTAACGGACGGCGAATGGAAGTGAAGAATTTTCGGTAGCATCTGTGAACTGATCTTTTCCAATCACTTTCTTGTAGGTGGCAATTATTTTTAAACATTTCAGACTGCTAAGCATACAAATCAACAGTTGATGCAATGGCCTCTCGCCTCATGTAAATGTTGCAGAGGATGTGAATGAATGCTGTGAAATGCACGATGTCTGTTATGGTAACCACCTGATATCGCAAGCTACTTGCGACGACAACTTCTGCGACTGCTTGAATAGCGACCAATTCCGCAGCGTGCGCATCCGCGGCTTGTTCCCGAGGCTTATGTGTAATGCACTGCGACATGCCGCCTGCACTGTAGTCAATGTGTTCGGCAGCACTTACAAAGGTCCGTGTACATTTACTCTTTTGAACAGCAAATAAGCAACGATGCGCAGCAGCAGCAGCTGGAAGCGTTTTGCAAAAATTGAAACCAATTTAACACCACAACGGTCGTACTGAGGAGATCCAGCTGTGGCGCGCAATAGGCATGTATACGCCTTCAAAGGACCGAAATATTTCTGTTCATCTGATTAATTATAATTTAATGCAATTTTCTTAAATTTTAACATAATACTTTTAAACATTTAAGTGGTCTTTAGACCATTACATTATTACTAGACGCAGTTGCGGGCGGATCCTAACGGCTGCACGGGTCAGCATGCACGGGAGTTGCTCCTCATGATTGCCTCTTTAACAAACAAGCGCATAAAAAGTAACAATATTTTGAATACACAGCTTATTTGTTCTGAAATTTCAAAGCCCCTCCGCACTTGGACATTTAACCCCATAGCTGCATAGTAATATTTAACCCCATGATGTAATCAACTAAGACTTATGAATTATGACTTCAAACTCGTTTTGTTTTGGGAAGCAAAACCATGCTGGAAAACAATACTTGTGGTTTCAGAACGACGTGCTTCTCCAGCTACTGAGAAGAAGAGCGGTAAAAATGTTGGTGTTCGTGCAGAGCGCAACAACAGATAAGAATTCACATGTTCTACTGCGTTTTTACATCGCTTTCTTTGAATCTTTCAAAAAACAAAATTACTCGTGATTGCCATAACTCACCAGCGTATCGGAAAGGCGAAACAAGGAATTAACATGAGGGAAAGCGGCAGTGAGAAGAGAGTGAAGAATGGTTTAAGACGTCTGGAGCTCCAGCCGAACACACCTGGTAATTAACAGAAAAACAGCGAAATTTTTAAATTCCTAGTGTTGCTTGGGAAGCATACCTTGGAAAGAATTTATAATTCAAGCAAGAAATTCTGAAGAAAGAAAAGGCTACTGAAATGAACCTGTCAATTTTGTTGCAGCAGTCCTATTCACTAAAAAATAGCAGAAACCATCTCTGGTACGGTGTCAGTCAGCGAATTACTATGTCTCCTCTACCAATACTTTGCTTTCCTTTTTTTTCCTGAAAAGTTAGTCTAGTGCAACATACAAAAATTTGGAAGATGAATCCATTATCAAATAACCGGGAAGTTTGAGAGCGCATGAAAGTACAAACGCCCACATAGCATGAAATTCTGGGGTGGACAACTCCATTTTCCTTTTTTCAGTCGAATTCCAGGCCGCCTCCTCTTAGACCGAACAGCTAATTCGGAGGTTTCTAGGGCAAGTATGATCGGACTGCTGTAAAGAACAGTTATAATTATGAGGAAGTATCAAAACCCAGGCTGGAACGCACCAAGCAGGCCGGCGCGATTACGCGTTTTTACACTTTTCGTGCCGTAGCAAGGTCTCAAGGAATCAAAGTAGCTAACCCTGTGAAATACTGGCCCTCGAAGTTCGGGAAGTTAATTGTGTAA